TGGTTTGATGTCCCAGTTTTGGGTAAATAAGCCAAGTCTCCAGCAGGCTCTGAGGGCAAGGATCAGGAAACAGCTTCAGCCTCTGCGTGGTCAAGGCCAGGTCAAGAAGCTCTTTGCAAGATTTTCCTACTGTTGTGCTGGAACCTTCTGCTTCCCTTCATTTCTTAGAGGGGAAAAAAGAGTCAGAAGCAGTTAGGGAGGGTGACCTGTGGAGATCCTGAGCATCCTGTGCTGGTGCTGGGAGCAGGGCAGGGCAGGAATTGCTGCCAGCAGTGGGGAGCGTGGGTGGCACGAGGGCTTTGTGTGCTGCTGGAGGATGCTCTGTGCATGCATCCCTCCTAAACAAATCCCTCTTTAAGTGTGTGTGATGGGAATTCAGCTTTTCTTTTTCTTTTTTTTTTTTTCCACTCATCTTCAAGTAGGAGAGAGGCTTATTAGTACTCTCCTTCCATAGGCAAGATGCGGAGGCTGGGGAGTTGTGAGACGAGTTACATTTGCTTTGATCAGGCAAATCTGCTCTCTCCTGGACAGTCCCTTCAGCCAGAAGGAGGAGGAGGGAGGAAAGCACAAGGTGCTGGCAGGAGCTCCAGGGCAAAGCTCATAAACCCACCCAGCACAAATGAACTCATGTCAGGAGGAAGGAAGTGTTTCCATGCTGGATCAGCACCTGTTGAAGGAAATGTGTTGAATGTCACTGATGTGCATTCAGGGGAGCTGCACTCTCTTGGCCATGGTGTTTGCAGGCTGGAAGGGCATTTTAGGCTGGGACAGTCCCCTGGTGTCTTTTTTAGGGCATTTTCCATCTGCAGCCTCTGAGAATTCCCAGGGAGCTCCTGCTAAGCAGGGGAAGGAAAGGGAGGTTTCAGGGTGAGCTGTGATGGAAGGGAACGAGGTTTGGGCACCATCAGAGCTCCAGGCAGATGGAGCTGGAAGAGAAATGGATTCTGTGAGCATCTCCTCAGCTTTAGTCACAGAGAAGGGAAAGGATCCAGAGCTGAGGGTGCAGGGTGTGAAATGGGAGCAGCTGGCAGTGCCCGGGCTGAGGAGCAGGGCTGGGCACAGCTCTCTGAGCAGGAATCTGCTCTTTGGGAAGGACAGAAACTCTGGGAGCTCCCCAGGATTTCTCTGTGAATTTTCCCCCAGCAGGGCTGGGCACAGCTCTGAGAGCAGGAATCTGCTCCTTGGGAAGGACAGATCACTCTGGGGGCTCCCCAGGGTTTCTCTGTGAATTTTCCTGAAGCAGGGATGGGCACAGCTCTGTGAGCAGGAATCTGCTCTTTGGGAATCTGCTCTTTGGGAAGGACAGATCACTCTGGGGGCTCCCCAGGAATTCCCTGTGAATGGGACCAGCCTGGCCAGTTTGAGAGTGGAGGAGCAGAGCTGTGTTTGTGTTTGTGTTTGTGTTGGCAGCTGGAGCAGGGGCTGTGCCAGCCAGGGCAGGTGATCCCACCTGAACTGGGGTTTGGGATGGGAGCAGACACCCCTGGAGGGCAGGAGGGCTCCCTGCCCCACAGACACACGGATTTCTCAGGGTTTGATCTGCCTGTTGCTGCAAGAGCCGAGCCTGTCATTATTCGCTGCCATCTGTTAGAGACACGAATGGCAGCTGCTCCCAGTGGTACCTCGCTGCTCACAGCGGCTTTCAGCCCCCAAAACTGGAGCCCCCGGGGGATTTACAGAGACAATGAAACACATCTGATGCTGTAACAAGAGTTACTTCTCATCGGGCCGGTAACAATCAGTGGGAATTTAGCTGCTCCTTGTAAGCTATTTGCATCTCTGGGAACATTACATTTATACAAACGTGTTTATATCACTGCTAATATTTCCCTCTCTGAGAGAGAGGCCTGGCCTGTGTGGGTGCTTAGAGGAGGGTTTGTGTCAGATTCCAGTCTGTGACAAACCTCAAGTGGAATTCATCCCATTTTTGATTCAGGAAGAAATTTGTCTCTCTTTTCTTTCTTTTTTTTTTTTTTTTTGGTCCATTTTGAAAGGCCTGGGCACACACCCCTGCACAGTGAGATTTAGAAGTGATTACAGTGAGCTGGGAAGCAGCTGTCTGACATCAGTGGGATATAGAAAGCCTCCCAAAGACTTTTTCCTTTGCATAATATTACCCTGATCAGACTCCACTGATCCCACTAAGATGAATTTGTTATGGGGAGCAATAGAAAATGCAGAAGGAGAAGCAAATAAAATGTGTGCAGCTAAAAGTGTCCAGTCCTGGATCCAGCTTGGTTTTGTGGCTGCTTCACAGCTCTGCTCCCCAGTTTGCCCATGGCCAGGCTGTGACCTTGGACAAATCTCCTGGCTTCTTTGTGGCTTGGTTTCATCCCTCAGGAAATGAGGATATTGTCACTCACCTTGTCTGCAAAACGCTTTGAGGTCTAGTGGTGAAAATTGCTGGGAAGGAGCTTAGGTGGGATTACAGTTCTGTATTTCTGGGAGTGCAGAGAGAGCAGAGCTGTGTGTGCAGGTCAGGCTGTGCCTGGCCAGCCAAGGCACACAGGGAAGGGGATTTCTTCAGAGGCACACAGAGGAAATTGCTGAAGTGTGTTGTGAGCAAGAGTTATCAAAACTTGCTGGAGCAGAAAGAATCTTAAAATGCTAATGAGCTTTTGTCTGCGGAGCCTTGCTTGGGGCACGTTCTGCTTTTCTCCAGGCTGACTTTGCAGTGCTGCTCAGGCCCTGTTCGGTGTCCAGTCCTGGCTGTCTTTCACTCTCTCTTTCTGGGGATGGTGAGAATCCTCCTGGCTGAACCATTTCCCAGGAGTGCTGTCTTGTATTGTGAGGAGCAGGTTATTTTATTTTAACAAACTCTCAATTTTTACAATGCCAAGAGCAGGAGTGCTGGTTTCACTCCTGCAGGCAACCTCCGTGTCCCAAGGATGTGCATTCCCACTTTATTGTCTTCTATTTTTACCCCATTTTGGGCAGGAGGAAGGGCTGGGACACCCTTAGGACGGGCAGTGTGTGGGCTGGTGTGGCCGGGGTGTGGCAGGAGGGACAGGGACAGGGACAGGGACAGGGAGGTGACACACGGCACACACATGAGCAGCCCCCGGCTGCTGCCGCTGCTTTTGAAGGCGAATTGAAGCCCTAAAATAACAACAGCCGATCCCTGGTGAGGGAAAGCAGCTGCGATTAGCGGAGGCTCCCGCTGTCTGGTGACACAAGGACTGTCCCCTCTGTGACAACACGGTGACATTGCCACCCTCCCCTTGTCCCCGAGGAGGAGCACCGGGCTCCTGCTGCCCTCTGACAGCTCCTGCAGCAAAGGGAGTGGGAGACATGTGCTAACCCAAGGAGACAGCAGATGGGTGCAGGCGCTTCTAAGAACAGCTGCTGGTGTCTCACTCAATAATCCCATTTTTAACAAATCCCTATGATAGCGAAAAAATGCTGGAAATTGGGTTTTTCTGTCCTTTCTCATCTCTCGAGCCACACTTGACCTGTTCAACATGATCTAGGGATTAAAGGCTTGTTATTTTAGCTTCTCTATAATAGATCAGAGGCTGATCTCTGTCAGGCTATTGAGCTACTATTCCTTGGCTCCTTCCCCCTCTTCCCACTTTTTCTTTTGTGCCCCAGGTTCTGTGACAGTGCAGAGATGTGACTCCTGCTAGGGGACACTTTTCCCCAGCACTGTGCATGGTCTCATCAGCCCAAGGTGTGGCTGCAGAACATTTTGGAGCTCTGAGGCTCCCAATTCTAAAGTCTGAAAACTCTGGAAGCTGGGCAGGGAGGGAAGGCTTGGCACCCTCCCTTGTCAGCATCATCACCCCTCGGGCCAGGAGCAGGGAGGGGTGGGGAAGGAGCCTTGTTCTTCTCCAAGGGGGCTCCAAAGGTGTTTTTCTGTCTGGGATCCGAAGCAGGGAAGCTGTGGAGCCGATGCTGTCGGTGCTGAGCTCTCGGCTGTGGGCTGAGGCGTCCTTGGCCACCGCCGTGCTTCGAACTAATCCCGCCTTTGCCGACACAACACTGCTGCTAATTCCCTCGGTGCCCAGGTGGGGAAGCCGTGTCACCGAGATGCAAAGTGGCTTATCCAAGGTCACCGGCAAGGAAATGGCACGGGGAGGGAGAGAGCTCAGCTCTGTCGGCTCCCAGTGCTCCCCAGTGCAGCTGGTGCCCTTCGGGCAGGTGTTGCTGATGGACAGGTGTGCTTGTGCCACGGGAGAAAGAGGATTCTTTTTTTTACCCTAGGAGGGTGAGGCCAAACCTCTGTCGGGGATCTCTGGGGGAGAGCCGGGCCCGTGTTTGCCCAAATCCCCGGCTGGCAGCTCCTCCGACAGGTGCCAGTGGGTGCAACCCGGAGAGACACCGGGATAGGGACAGGGATGGGGACAGGGGGCAGCGCGGCACATCCCGGAGAGACACTGGGAGAGGGATGGGGGCAAAGCAGCACATCCTGGAGAGGCACCGGGACAGGGACAGGGATGGGAAGGAGAGCAGCCCATCCCGGAGAAGCCCCGGGGCAGCGATGGGGGCAGTGCGGCACATCCCGGAGAGGGACCGGGATAGGGACAGGGATGGGGACAGAGCAGCACATCCCGGCGAGACACCGGGACAGGGATGAGGGCAGAGCAGCCCATGCCGGAGAGGCACCGGGGCAGCGATGGGGGCAGCGCAGCCCATCCCGGCGAGACACCGGGACAGGGATGAGGGCAGAGCAGCCCATGCCGGAGAGGCACCGGGGCAGCGATGGGGGCAGCGCAGCCCATCCCGGCGAGACACCGGGACAGGGATGAGGGCAGAGCAGCCCATGCCGGAGAGGCACCGGGGCGGGGATGAGGGCAGAGCAGCCCATGCCGGAGAGGCACCGGGGCAGCGATGGGGGCAGAGCAGCCCATGCCGGAGAGGCACCGGGGCGGGGATGAGGGCAGAGCAGCCCATGCCGGAGAGGCACCGGGGCAGCGCCGGGGGCAGCGCGGCGGCTCCCGCGGCTCGGGCGGGGCGCTGCGCGGGGCGGGGCGGGGGCGGGCGCGGAGCGGCGGCGGGAGGCGGGCGCTGTCCATGGCCCTGCGGAGCTCCGGGCGGCCCCGGGCTCCGCCGCGCCGCCGAGCGAGCGAGCGATGGGCAACACGGTGCACAAGACGCTGGCAGGTACCGCGGGGCCGCGGGGCTGCGGGCGGGGGGCGCCGCCTGCCCGGGGATGCTGCGGGCGAGCGGCGGCGGCGGCCGTGCCGCCCTCCCCGGTGCGAGGCTCCCCGGGAGAAGCCGGGCGTGTGGGCAGTGCCCGGGGAAGCCGAGCGTGCCGGCAGTGCCCGGAGGAGCCGGGCGTTCGGGCGCTTCGGAGGTTTTTGCGAGCCGCTGGCTGCCGGCGATGCGCGGCGGGCGGGGATGCGGAGCGCGGGGTGAAGCGGGGCTGATCCCTCAGCTGGAGCGGCGATCCCAGCCCTCGCACCCGCTCCTTGGAGGGGCTCTCTGCTTCATTTCCCCTGCTCGTTGCGTTATTTTAATACAACTTTTTAATGGGGAGAGACGTTAGTTGTTCGGAGTGGCCGGGTGAAATGTTGGGTGGGCTGCCCTGCCTTTAAAATTGCCTTTTTAGCCAATTCTGCACTCAGACAAGAGACGTACAGATTCTTTTCCTTTGCAAGTTCGTAACTGTGGGGTTCTCTCCCCCCTCGGAGAATCTGTGCATAATAAAAGCAGTTGGTCTCTATAGAATCAACAGTGTTGAATTACTGAGCCCTTGCCAGGCTGTATCTTCAGCTACTTTGCTTTTCTTCTCTTTTCTGCTCTTGCAGAGCTCCTGCATTGCATCCTTTGTACTTCAGGCTCCCATAAATAAAAAGGGTATTATTAAACTTATTTAAAGAAGCAGGAGGACCTATTGAACACATACACGTCTGCCTGTAATCAGCCAGGGAGCTGAATATAGAAATAAAGAGAGGAATAGATTAGCATTTGGATGTGCCATATATTGTCTTTGCAAAGAGAGGGTGCCTGGGACCTTCAGGGCACAAAAGAAAGCTGCTAAGCTCGTGGTTTAGCTATGAAGCAGCGATTAGATTTCTAGTTGCATCTCTTCTCGTTCTCTATTACATTTAAATGGGACATTAGCTCCTCTCACAATAGGGAAGTTTTCATTTTTTTTCAATACTTCACCAACTGGCAAATAAAGGCATGGTGAGGAGTGCATGACCTTGGAGGAAATTTATTTTGCGGGTTGGCTTTTCAGCTGGGGGCACATGCAAAAAACCTGGGAGGGGGAAAGAAAAGCCAGGGAAACATCTTTGGGTCAGCAGAGGTTCAGCCTGGTCAGGCTGGAACTTCCCGAAGGAAAAAAATCTCTGTACCTGCTGGGCCGTGGGATCCAGCAGAGCTGTGCTCCAGAAGGCTGGGAGTTGTACCAGCCCTGGTGCTAGAACAGTCTCTCCTGAGCAGCCTCCACATGCTCAGCCCTCCACACGTGAATTTAAAAAAAGGGATGACATCAGCTGCACCGCAGCTCCGCCATTCAGGACTTCCTCGCGGCGCTTTCGAAAGGAGCCGTTCGGGAGGAAAAGTTTGATTGGGGGGGGGGGGAATAAAAATGAAGGCTTGATTTATGGAGACCTCCCAGCTGAAACATTTGTTCTGGTGGCCTAGAAAATCTCGGTGGTGTCCCTCCAGGTGGAGGCTGTCTGGGAGCATTGCAGCGCTGGGGATGGTCCATTGGCAAACATTTGTCAAATTGCGCAAGGCAAAGCTATGCAGGACACTTGAATGCCTCTGCTGAGGGCTGGATGATGCTGGAAATGTCTTTTTCCCAAATTCAGTTTGCTTTTTACAAGAGTAATGACAGCCCAAAGGAGCTGTTAACCTGTGGCTGCAGAGGAGCCTTTGGATGTTTGCACTTTGGGAGTTTGTGAATGTTTTTTGTCGGGTTGGACCCCATTCAGCAATTTTTCATATGAAATTGAATTTTGGATGGATTGTTTGTCTTTCATTATCCAAATGGCATTGCGGAGGGAAGCAGGTTTAGAGCTGTTCTTGGAACAGTCCTTTTGAAAATTAGAAAGTTTTTCCGGGAGACTGAATGGTTGGATGAAATCCTATTTATAAATGTGAGGGCTGTTTAGAATTAGTCAAAGATAATCAGTCAGAATTAAGTCTTTCCTTTTCTTGGTCCAGAATGCACCTCTTTCTTCACCCTGCAGACTGAGCAAGGCACTTTCACTCTCATTTTGACAAACAGAGGAATTGTTCTCTGTCCCATGGACTGAAGAAACTTATTAGTAAAACAATCAAACAGAACGTCTTCAAACTGAAATTTGCTTGCTTGTGTTAAATTGATTCAGTGCAGAATCACTTTGGTGGTTTTATTCACCATAAATAGCTTAAGGTAGAAAAAGCCTTTTCAATGCAATCAGACGTAGAGGGAATGTGGGGGGACCTGGCTCCTGGAAAAGCCAAACAAGCAGCAATTCAGGTTTTACACAGAAATGACAACGCTTTTCTCAAACAGCAAAATTCAATTTTAAATCCTATTGGGGACAACTCATTTTTATACCCGAATTGGCTGAATGTGCTTGAACAAACCATTCCTGTTGCATCTTTAAACCTCGCCCAGCCTCATCCGTTCCTCCGCACGTTTCCGTGGAGCGATGCAAGAGCACACGCTATCGGTGCCGGAGGAATTCGTGCCGGGAGCTCGGGAAACTCGCGTTTGCCGAGTATCCGATGGTTAGCACACAATGGGCCCAGGCTTTGTCAAATTAACCGCGAGGTTCCGAGCGGAGCGGCACCCACACGAGTAATGAGGCTGCGCCTAATGAGAGGCAGCTCCTGGGGAGGCATTGAGGGGAAAGGAGCTGGGCTGTGTCAGATGCGCTTGAAGCAGGCCTGAGGTGCTGCTGGAAGCCGCTGTTCTCTGGGTGACAGCGAAATGACACCCGACACACGGGGATGCTGCCCCGGAGCGCTCGGGATGCTCCGGGAGCGGCTCCTGCATCCCCTGCAGGACCGGCTCCACACGGGCTGGGCATGGATGTCACTGTTTCCCTGCTCCCCTCGCCTCCCTGCCCATAGCCCGAGGCGATTTGTGGGCAGCTGGGTGAGGGAATTGTTGGTTTTTGAGGCACGGTGATGTCCTGGCCCCTGCAGGTGATGGCAGCACCTGGGCTGGCCCGCATCCCCTGCAGGAGCAGCTCCACACGGGCTGGGAATGGATGTCGCTGTCTCCCTGCTCCCATGTCACTGTTCCCCTGCTCCAATGTCACTGTTCCCCTGCTCCCATGTCGCTGTTCCTCTGCTCCCCTCGCCTCCCTGCCCGTGGCCCGATGTGATTTGTGGGCAGCTGGGTGAGGGAATTGTTGGTTTTTGAGGCACGGCGTTGTCCTGGCTCCTGCAGGTGATGGCAGCACCTGGGCTGGGAGCTGCTGGTTCTGTGGGATTTGTGGCTCTGTGCTTGCTTTTCTGCAAGGAATCGCTGTGGAGCTGGGGTGAGGGAGGCAGGGAGCAGCACAAAGCGCCCTGGTGCCATGGATGGGGCTCCTTCCTCCATGGGGCTCCTTTCTGCAGGCACACACAGGGCTCAGGAAAGGGTTAATAACCAGTGGGAGCCAGGGCAGGCTGGGGAGAGGGGAAAATTCCTGTGATCAGGGAAAGCCTTGTGAGGAGCAGTGTCCCCGTGGTGACAGGGGAGGGTGGACAGCTGCTGGACACAGCAGGCACTCCCCAGCCCAGGCACAGGGGAAGGACTTTCCACTTGGGATCCAGCTGTTGGTCCTGACCCAAATAGGGGCATTGGTATTTAACAAAGCAGCCAAATTCCCTTTTTAGAGTCTGGCTGGGATCTGATTGCTGTGCTTCTCCCACAGCCTTCCTCACAACTGTGAGGAATACCAAGTATGAGTGGCATTTGTGTCTGGTAAACACGAGGGAGAATGGGGCTTGTTCTGGCACAAGTCACTTCGGTGCAAGAAATTATTTTGTATTCTTAAGGAAAAGGCTTCTAATCATCAGCCCTCCCTCAACAAGGCAGAAACCCCAAGTTTAGGCCCTCACTAGGCTGGTGCTCCCATTTGCCAGGCCAAACAGGGATGGTTGGAGAGTGCTGGTTGAGGCAGAGTAGCAGGAATTCACAGATTATGGATTTAAAAAGACATTTCTGTGTATGCCTTTCCAAAATACGGATTCAGTTCTCCTCTAAGAAATGAGGAGCAAAGTCCATGCAGTGAGAAAAGATGTCTGCCTTTTCCAGGGGCTGAAATCTCACTTGAGGGAGCACTTTTGTTTAGGTTTGTTTGCTGGTCCCTCCTCCTTTAGCTGCTAGTGATGCACTGTGGGAGGAGTTCTTGTTATTGTCAGGAGTTCAGTAAATTGTTTGATTTGGCTCCAGTCTGACTTTAGGAAAACTACAAAAACCACTTCAGGTTGTTCTGGTTTGAGTGAAAAATGTTCCTGTTCAGACCAGTTTTTGGTTTGGGTTTGGTTCAGTGCTGATCAACACGGACTGCAGGTGTTAATCCAGCCTGATTTTGCCTGTTTTTCTGCATCTTTTAGGCTGGGAGTTGAGGTTCTGAGAGTCTGTCACTGATTTTGATGGCTCCCTGTGTGACCTTTGAGCAAGTGGCTTTATCACAGGATTGCTTTGAATGTAAGGGAGTCAGGAAACCCTGGCTCACATGGGGCTACAAGAGTTAATTAATTATGAAGCATCTCCTGGAAGAAGGTCACAGAAGTAAAAAAAAAAGAAGAAAAAAGATTAATTCACTGCTTTCTTAGCAGCCTTCTGCTTTCCCACTCTTCAAAAGGAAACCTGTGAGGCTGCTCAGCCTTCTGTGGGATTTAGAGCTGGAGCAGGTTGATTGTGCACCCAGGGCTCTCTTTAACCACTGTACATGCCCCAAACTGTGCTGCAGCCAACTGGCACCACTGATTCAGCCTTTGGCACCTCGGCCCTGGAGGCTGGAGGAACAACTGTGCTCCAATGCAGGCAGGCATCGCCTCCCAGGCTGGTGTTAAATGGAACTGTGTCATGGCCCAGGGGCTGTCACACACACCCAGCACTGTGCCAAGTGTGTCATTGGAGCCAGAGCTTTCCCTGTCTCCAATAGCTTGTGCTGGGCAGGTACTCTCTCTCTCTCTTTTTTAAAATTTTAATTATTTATGCT